AAAAAAAAAAAAAAAAAAAAAAAAAAAAAAAGGACTGACATAAAATTAAAAGGTTTTAAAAATCAAACAAATTCAGCTCTATTGTCAATGGGCTTCCCACAATATCATGATAATAAAAAATCTGTTCAGATGTGAACTATTTCGAGGGCCAACATCCCATGAAAACTTTCTGATTCTAATTCACCACCAGTTCTACAAGTGACTCCTACACAGGTCTTCTTCTTTCCAAATATTGTACGATCCATCCACCCATTTAAAAAAAAAAAAAAAAAAAAAAAAAAAAAAAAAAAAAATGACCAAACAATACCTTAACAGGCTTTTACAAAGGAAAGTAAAATGACATAAGGGAGGAACAGATTTAAACTCAATTCAAAATAATTGTCCTCCTTTACATCCAGAGAAGGTCAGAGATTGAGTTAAAGAAAAGAAACAAAAAATTAATGGAAGCATCCTGACACACGCTACAACATGGATGAACCCTGAGAGCATTATGCTCAGTGAAATAAGCCAGTCACCAAAAGGCAAATACCGTATGATTCCACTTATATGAGATACCTAAAGTAGTCAAAGTCATAGAGACAGAAAGTAGAATAGGGGTTGCCAGGGAAAATGGGGGAGTTGTTGTTTAATGCGGATAGATTTGCAAGATGAAAAGTTCTGGAGGTCTTCTCCCCAACAATGTAAATATACTCAGCACTACCAAACTGCACACTTCACAGTGGTTAAGATGGTAAATTTTATGTTATGTGGGGGTTTTTTTAACCACAATGAAAATACATAATTTAGAAAAATAAACAGGAGTTAAATAATGACAGAGTCCGCTTGTCTTCTTGGTTCTAAAGCAGTGAAGTTCAAAATGAATTTGAATTTAATTTTATGAGTGAATGAACAATTCTAAGACTGGACTCTATCATAGTATGTTCTCTGGCAAAATCTATCAAAATTCTTCTAGGTCAGAGACTTAGACAAATTGCTCAGGGGGCCGTTGGAACCATCCCTACAACAAAAAACTCCAGACCCCCTCAATCAGGGAAGCTATCGAAAATGACTGCAACTCGGCTCCTTGGAGAAAGTTTTTGATGTAAAAGAAAAACGCAAATCATTTTGGTACTGAGACAGATGTACAACCCCTAAAAACAAGATCAACTTGCCTGTAAACTGACAAAGCCATTCATACCTCTATGTTTGCAGAGGAAATCTCCTTTATTAATTTTATCTTACATAAACCACTTTAAGAGTTTAGGCCTTAAATATGATGCTCAGGGTTTATATACGAATGGAGGGAAGTATATATCAAGTTTTACCTCTAATTCAAGAATTTCCTAAAATTCTATTCAACTTTGCTCAAAAGATTTTGGCAAGCCCATCAAGAAGACAAAATGAAATAAAGTAACAAAGGGCATCAGTGCAAAGTTTTCTTACCACTTAACCTGTATATCCAGGCACTTAAAGTAGAATCATTTACAAATCAAAAGAGTAAGAGAGTGACAGAGTTCTTAATACTACATCTTAGGATGAGGACTCGGCCAGTTCTCTAAGAAGGCATGTTCTCTTCTGTATTTTCAAATGTGTGTTTAAAAGGGTATAATCTGGGCTTCCCTGGTGGCGCAGTGGTTGAGAATACGCCTGCCGATGCAGGGAACACGGGTTCGTGCCCCGGTCCGGGCAGATCCCACATGCCGCAGAGCGACTGGGCCCGTGAGCCATGGCCGCTGAGCCTGCGCGTCTGGA